ATTGAAGGGGCATTCCCAAAGCTGATGATATAACGTTTCATTGAGTGCGCCGCATCTAGGACAGACCGTGCTGCCTATTCCTGTGTTCTGGAAACGTCGCTGGTTGGGCCACAAGGCCCCTTGGGAAACCATCTCCAAAATGGCAACCCTATGGCTTAAACCTTTATTGCGCAAAAACTTCAGATGGGCCCAAGTCACAGTTAAGTCCACCCCGTACTCAACCCCCGAGCCCGAGAAGTGCTGGCTGGCTTGGGCCCAAATACTCTGTTCCAGGGAAGATCCTACTTCAAAATCGAGCCTGTCGAGGCCCTCAGCTCCTTCAAAGCTAAACCTGAGCCCACAAGGAATGGTCCATTCCCCTGGCGTGTTGGGGTTCCAATTCATATCTAAAAGGGTGGCTTGCACTGCCGCCATGTGCCCCTTGACCTGCAGCCAGCGATGGTCCGACTCCCTCAGCTTGGCCAAGGACTCGTCCCAGGCTTTGTCGATGGCGGCACGCCACTCGGGGATCCTAGGGAGATGTTCCTGCCAGGCCTGCAAAAGTTCAAGAGGTCCCCAAAAAAGGGGGTCACTGCGTTTCCCAAGACTAATCCTAATGGCAGTGGTGGCACAACCGCCTGCCCACTTACTACCGCACATGGCAGAGACTTTCGCCCGAAGCTTCTTGAGATTCGTGGGCGCTAAGCCCATGGCAACGGCTCCCCAGGAAACCTGCGGCTTGTAGCCAGTGTTGGCTAGCTTTTTGGCCGCCTTCACGCTTTTGCCCAGGACTCGAATCGCAACAGCTCGTTTGGCTCCCTTCTTGTGCCTACTTTTGATGGTCCCTTGCGTCCTGGAGGCAGTAGCTACGTCCACTCCGAGATCACGCGCCGAGAGTTCCACTTTAATAGGTAACTGCAACTCCTTGATACGCTTCCGCAATGCCGCACGCACTGACGGAGAACTCGCCAGGCCAACTGATTTCTTTGAAATTCGCAATCCTTTGCTGTACATGCCCGTCGTGAGCTGGATGGCCACTTGCGTAGCCTGGTCCACTACTCCTTCTGCCGTGCCTATGTTGAGTTGCGCCAAGTCATCGACCCAGCTGCCGATGGAATTTTGGGGAGGAGGGTGCGATCGATGAATATTGTCTAACATGTCCCACAGATATATTCTGGACCAGGCTACGCTTTGCATGCACCCTGCGATGATAGAATGGTTGACCTGGATGCTGTCCGAAAGCATAGTGCCAACCGTGAGCCACCTATCAGCCATGTGTTGCAGCATGGCAAGGTAAAAGGGCAAAAGAGGGTAGTCCAGATTTCCAGCTAAGACTGCCAGTTGCTCGCCCTGGATAAGGTCATAAAACTTCTCTGCGTCCCACAGAAGCTGCACCCAACTAATATTCAAAAGTCCACACGTTTCTGCTTTAAGTTGCCTTAAAACCGCTGCTCGTAAAGGACTGCTTCCTTTTACCGCTGAATCCCAGAAGCCCGCTTTGCTGCGTTCCCATGTAATTATTGCTTGCTTGCGCATCACACTCCATAAACGATAGGGCCCTGGGGTCAACGTAATCGGTCGATCTCCTCCTGGCGGCGGTTTCGGGGTGAGGGCGACGACGTTGATCAAGGTTTGCACTGGCCATTTCAGTTGGGACTCCACCGCAACGAAAAATTCCAACAAATGCTCTTGGCCCTGCTCTGGTAGTGTCAGCCACTGTCTAGGGTTCCACGGGTCGGCTCCAAGGCCTGCATGGTCCTTAAAATATCGCATGCCATGCCGCAGGTCTGCAACCGTGAGATCTGGCAAAGGTCGCTCTTCCTGCTGCGCATGAGCGGCTTCACGAAGACGCTGAAGCCAAAAAGGAAAAGGTTGCTTAGGTCCTCCAATCGTTCCTCCCCAGAGTCTCGACCACCTTTCCGCCTTCACCTTCATCATCTCAATTGGTTCAATTACCTCCTTTCCTCCTTCGTCCTTCTCGATGTTTAGGCTTGGCTCCTCCACCTGCCACGTCCTGGAAAACTGATGGGCCCAACTAGCTCCCGAGGACAAGCTGGTACTAAGAAACTTCCGAAATCCTGCTGTGCTTTCTTTCATGGCCACGATGGAGACCTTAGCAAGAACTTCTTTCGCTGCATTTAAAACTTCGCGGATGTCCTCCTTGGTCGAGGGAGGCGATATCAAGGCGGCACTGATCTTGTCGCCTGCATTCCTAGCCGATTCTGGGACTGCTGTAAAGTATTGTGCTACCTGTGCCTCGGTATTCCATGCTTCAATCTGTTTGTGTATAGCCATGCGGTGATTCTGTACTGTAGCGCTGGTGCTCTTATCAGCCAACGTAAATAGCTCCTGGAACCTGGACCGAATACCTCCCAAGAAACACAGTTCATGAGATCGTCCAAAATGTCCAGGCGGTTTTGCAGCTGTCAGGTTTTGAACTTTAACCTCAGGGCACATACCTCTCCTGTGAGGTCCTACTTCTCTTCCCGCTCGATTCAGCAGGAAGGCCTCTGCCTGCATGGAGAAGCTCGCGTACAACCTGGTAAGGTCGTCTGAGGTAGCCTCAGGCCAAAAATGATAATGCTGCGGCATCTCGATGCCGTCATCCTGCTGCTGAAACGTCTCCCAGGGCTGATCGGGTCCATATACGTACGGTATGATTGGGGTAACAGGTACCAGGATGCGAGCTTCCAGGATGTTCTGAGTCCGATCCAACTCACCAAAAATTCCCAGATGTGGCGCCCAAGGTCCCTTCTGGTCCAGAGAGAGCTTGACCAGGGAGGCAAGATGTTCCGAGACCACTCCAAAGTCCAGGGTTCTTCCAGTGCCTCCAGAATTTGTAAATTCGCCAGGTGGTACAGCGATGTGTCCCCGAACAAACGAAGGCCACCCAGACTCCCAGAGCTCCTCAGGTGTCATGTTCCAGTCCGCCATGACTATGTAGTGCTTAGCCACAGAGAGTAAATAACCAGCTAGCTCTTCTAGGATGAGGCCGTTGGTGCCGACAGCCCCCTCGGAGTCATTCAAATAAGCTGAAACAAAGGTCACATCCAGTCCTTTAAACCTGACTGTCCTGCCTACCCACTGCGTGCCGAAAAACTGTTCTTTACCATCAGGGCCGATCTTACAGGGGTAAAGGACCTGGGAGTGGATGGTGGTCCTCGAGAGGACCCAGACCCCGCCGTGCCCAAGCGTCCCTTCTTTGGCCGTGGGAACAGCTGGGGCCGAGGTGGACAACCACCCCGCTCGCTTGAGTTTCTTCTGCGCCTGCAACAGCGCTCCTCCTCTCAGATGAGTTTCGGCACCCATGTGGAGCAAAACATCTTGCATATGCTCTGCCGCTAAATAGGCCATGGCACGCTCATTCCACTTGGTGTAGTTGGCGAAGTAGAAAAGGAACTTCTGCCCGGCGCCGCGTTGCCGAGCATGTGGTACACGTCCTTGGCTAAAGACTCGTTGGGGATGCCCGAGACTGCGCGAACTTCTGCTTTGCCGCGTCGAGGGTGGCCTGGATTTGTTCATCAGAGACATGTGGCTGAGACGGTGCCGTGGCTGATGGATTGGTAGCATCTTGCGTCTCCGAAGGTGTTGCTGCACTCGGACCCGAAGAAGTCGCCTCACCCCTGGGTTCCGCTGCTGCAGTACCTCCAGCTTCTTGTGATTCAGCATCACCTCTGCCACCAGCTCGTGCTCCACCTTCATTGGTACGTCGCCTTTTGTGTGCCATCCTTGACTTGTATTCTTCAAACTGTTGCTTTCTTTCCAAGAGCGTCTTAGCCGAGGGTCCCACCGCGGCGCAAATAAGTTTGGATACTTCTTTTGCCAATGATTCTTTATGTTCTTTCCATTGCTGCAATTCTTCTGGCGATAATTCCAACTCCGACGTGTCAAAGCTGGTGCCGTCCTCGAACTTGAGAATGTCCAGGAACTCGGTCTCCTCCGTGGCGCTGAGCAACTTGGACAGGTTGATGGGGGAGGTCTGCTGCAGCACCTTGGGGTCGACATTTGCCTGAAGAAGAGCTTGGTGTCGAGCTGCCGCCTCTGTTGCAACTCTGGCTTTGTCACGTGTGTCCGCTTCAGCTTTGGCAAGGTATTCACGGCATTCTGCTTCATACCGGATTGCACGATCAAGAGCTTCCGCTGTCTTGCGTGCTTGAACCCCAGCTTGATTGAGTTCTTGCTCTCGCTGGAGTTCTGGCCGTAACTTGGGTTTGTCCACCTGCTGCACTGGGGGAGCTGCCTTGGCTTCAAAAGCTTGAAGTTCGGCTCCTGCTTCTGGATGTCGCTGCTTGAGTGCCTCCAGCAGCTGCTCCGTGGTGGGCGCGAACGGCGAAGTGGCTGGAAGCGTGGCACCTCCTGTCTGCCAGACGCCTGGTGGCGCACCAGCGGCAGCCATGTTGCCCGCCATGGTGAAGGGGCTCCCGCCTGGCGTGCGGGCGCGAGGTGGGCCGTAGGCCCAGGCTCCCGAGGCTGGTTTGGGCCAATCATTGGCTGCGGGCCCGATAGCTTTCCCACACTGCCAACACTGCGAATGCTTCTTCCAATTCCAGCGATAGCCACAAGAAGCATGCGGGCAAAGCTGGTAACCTTTCTGCTGCTGCTGTTTCCCCATCGCTGCCGCGGGGGGAGAGTAATCGTGGAGGAATTGGGCTGGGGTCGCGAGCCCCTGGCCAGAGAGTCTCAAGGTATCTCTTTTTTTCACACGCCTCAACTGCTCGAGCGAGGTTGGAAGTTCAGGAGAAGGCCCCTTGAGCCAAAATGGCTACGGCCTCCTCCTCCTCCTCCTCCTCCTCCTCCTCCTCCTCCTCCTCCTCCTCCTCCTCCTCCTCGCCCTCCTCCTTCGTCCGTTTGCGAGTGATGCGAGCATCCGCCCTGCGGATAATGGCAGAGGGTCACCGATCGTCCATCGCAGCAACCACCACCGCCGCCGCCAACGTCGCCACCGGGTGCAACAAAAGCATCACTCCCGTCGGCACCGTGCTGCCCTCTCGGCGGCTGCCCGGAGAGGCTGAGCCCGGAGCAGGTTGGTCAGGTTCGGGGCGGACTGCCGGTAGAAGGCCTCTCTCAAGGCCGTCACCTGCACGCTGGATGAGAACCTTCGAATCGAACGGAGTCAAAAACAGTCAACGGGGCCTCGATAGGATAACAATCTAGATTGACAGCTCCTCCTCCTCCTCCTCCTCATCCTCCTCCTCCTCCTCCTTCTCATTCTCACCGCCATCATCAACATAGTCCTCCTCATAAGCATCGTCATCATCGTCATCAGCATCAGCATCATCGTCATCAGCATCATCGTCATCAGCATCATCGTCATCAGCATCATCGTTGTCGTCGCCGTCGTCATCATCAACACGACCATCACCATCAATGTCATCAGCATCAGCATCCGCATCATCATCATCATCATCATCATCATCATCATCATCATCATCATCAACAACATCAACATCAACATTATCATCATCATCATCATCATCATCATCATCATGAGCAGCATCATCATCATCATCATCATCATCATCATCATCATCATCATCATCATTATCATCATCACAATCAGCAGTATCATCATCATCGTCATCATCAGCAGCAGAAGCATCATCAGCCTCGTCATCACCATCATCGTCATCATCATCACCACCATCATCAGCAGCAGCACCGTCATCATGATCATCATCAACAGCAGCATCATCATAATAATCATCGTCATCCGTATCATCATCATCGTCGTCAGCATCATCACCATCAGCATCACCATATCACCATCATCAGCAGCAGCAGCAGCATCATCATCGGAATCATCACCATCATCAGCATCACCATCATCATCATCATCATCATCATCATCATCATCAGTATCATCGTCATCATCATCATCATCATCATCATCATCATCATCATCATCATCATCATCATCATCATCATCATCGCAATCATCAGCATCATCAGCATCAGCAGCAGCATCATCAGCATCATCATCATCGTCATCATCGTCACCATCGTCGTCGATATACCCTTATTCCTCGTCCATGTTTTATCAGAAGTAGAGCACCGAGCGTTACGAACCCTCACTCCCAAATTCCCTCTCGCGCAGGGCGCGCCTGCCTGTCGGCCAGGTGCAAAAACAACCTGAGAGGAGGAGAAGGAGGAGGAGGGAGGAGCAGGAGGAGAAGGTAGAAGGTTCAAGCGGGACTCGGGCGCTCAAGCTGAGGCGGAAGCGGCTCGGCCCGTAGCATGTTAATGACGGCATGCCAGCCACACCGCTCCTAGGTCGAGGCGGATAGGAGAATGATGCGAGTCCCATGTGGGGCGAAATGCGCACAAACCAAGCGCGGGCATCACAAAAGAAGCGTGGCGCCTCACAACACCCATTTAAGAGACGCGCCCAGGGGAATTCTCTCATCACTCAACGCCTCTCCGATAACAGCACACTTCTGGCTGCCGCCCCAAACCTCCCGCGCTCTCCGAGGGGTCGGCGAAATGGTGTAAAACTTGAGGATAACAACCCGCTTCTGGCCGCCGCCCCAAACCTCCCGCGCTCTCTGTGGGGTCGGCGGCATGGTGTAAAACTTGAGGATAACAACCTGCTTCTGGCCGCCGCCCCAAACCTCCCGCGCTCTCTGTGGGGTCGGCGGCATGGTGCAAAACTCCAGGATAACAACCCGCTTCTGGCCGCCGCCCCAAACCTCCCGCGGTCTCCGAGGTCGGAGGGATGGCGTACAACTCCAGGATAACAACCCGCTTCTGGCCGCCGCCCCAAACCTCCCGCCTCTCCGAGGCCGGGGGCCCTGGAACCCCCTCGGCCGCCGCGCGGGGAGCACGAGAGCCTCCGTGGGGCCCAACACCCCGCATGCCATGCAGGCAGTTGTTGGCACGCACCCTTCGAGTAGGAGATCGACTACAACATTGAGTTGCCCCAGAATCGATTTGTGCGCCGAGAAATGTTCGTAGTTCTGCGGGAGTTCGACGTACTTGTCGCAGGCTCGACGAGAAAATAAATTCTGGGGTAACTCAATTCTGCAATCGATCTCCTACTCGAACACTGGAGTCTCCCCTGACGACCTTGCCGGTCGGGGTGACCCCCACCTCACACCCTTTGGACCCCTCCGGCACACCAGGGGGCTCCTCCTCCTCCTCCTCCTCCTCCTCCTCCTCCTCATCCTCATCCTCCTCCTCCACTCATCATCCTTATGAATAGCTTCTCCCTGTCTCACCCCGAGGCCAGTTTTTAGGGCGGGCCGGGCGTTTCGCCTAAGACGTCCTCACCATTCATGACCCTGAAGCTTAAACATTGACAACAATTTCACAAATGGATGGCGGGTCGTTTTCGAAATGTGGCCCTCGCCTCAGCGCCGCTCACTATCGTTCTAAATATGCTGAAGATCTTCGCGGATTGAGGGCGTGTCGTTTTCAAAATGTGGCTCTCGCCTTAGCGCCGTGAACATTCGCTTTAAAAGATTTGAAAGAACTCCACGGATTGAGGGCGGGTGGTTTTCGGAATGTGGCTCTCGCCATAGCGCCGCGCACATTCGTCTGAAAAAGGGTAAAAGTTTCACGGATTGAGAGCGGTTCCTTTTCAAAATGTGGTTCTCGCCTCAGCGCCGCGAACATTCGTTTTTTAACACTGCCAGAGCTTCACGGATTACCATGATCAGTGTACCAGAACTGGTGTTCTGGAAAGATTCAAGATTATGAGGTGTGCTACAGCTACGTTGACTCGCGGTGTTGAAGGCCCAGGAATGGTGCTCTGGCACGGTTCAAGATCGTCAAGACGCAACAGTCAGGTTGATTCGTGGCGTCGAATCCCGAGAACAATGTTTGGGCATGCTACAGGGTCTTCAAACGGTTGTCTTCCAACGAGGCAGTCCCTTAGTTGGAATGAGCCGTTGTAGGGGCCTATGAAGAGGGAGCTTGGAGGGAGGGTTTATTCCCACATCGTTGACAGATCTTGGGTTTCCACTGGTCCTCCTCCTCCTCCTCCTCCTCCTCCTCCTCCTCCTCCTCCTCCTCCTCCTCCTCATATTCCTCCTCCCCTTCCACGCCAACAGTGGGACCGTGCGGCGGGAAGGGCCAGGTCCCGAGGTCCTGGCTGCAGCACCCCTGGACGAGCTCAGAGAGTGAAGCCCAGCGATGCTCCCCTCAGAGCGCAAGGAGCGTCGGGCGCACAGGCGGGCGCTCTGGCCTTGTCGCTCCTCGACGCCAGGAAGTGGAAGGTCGCCACGATGGCGCCTGGCGAGCGTCCAGTCGGGAGGGCGAGCAGGGAAGGAGGCGGAGGACGAGGGGGGAGGACAGGGGGAGACCGAGGAGGGTGTGAGCAGGAGGGGGGGGGGACAGGAGGAGACCGAGGAGACGGGTGGGAGAAGGACGAGGGGAGACCAGGGAGGACACGGGGAGACCGAAAGAGGGCGGGAGGCGGCGGCGGACGCAACTTCGACCTGCCAGCGTGATGTCTCGAAGGCCAGCTCGGGGCCAGCCGGCGCGCGCCCCACGTTGCCAGAACTAGAAGGTGAAGGCCAGGCCCAGCGCTGCCCACGGCGCTCTTCGCGCGTGACGTTGGCGGCGAGGTGTGGGAGAGAGGAGCACAGGGGGGAGGGAAGAGGTAGGGAAGCTAAAGGCGTGGAGGACGCGGCAGAGAACGTGGAGGACGAGAGGCATTATGGATGGAAGGTCGCGGATGCTCTGGAAGATGATCCGAATAAGTGTGAGCCAAGAAAGGTCGTGCCCATCTTGCTCGGCACCCTGGAAGCCTGGAGACCTGCAAACCATCAGAAGAGAGTTGCGCGAGGCTGGGTCACAAAGCATGGACAGGCTCACCTATCCACTGGGGCCGCGGATGCCCTACGACTGTGGCAGCCAGTAACACGTATTGGTCGCATGCTGCTAAAAACACAACAGCTAATCAGCAGCTACGCACATACTTCCAGGCCGCCACTAGCTGAGCATTTTCTTAGGGTGGAGGGCTCAGTGTGAAATAGAGGCTTTTGCACCTCGAAAATCAAACTGTCTTGTGATCCACCTTTTGCAGATTCAAGCCTCGAAAATCCATCGAAACAACATTTCAGACTTCACCCTTGTCCCTCCACCCAAAGAAAATGCTCGGACTAGGCGGCAGACGGTAGACCAGCGTGCGCCGGAGCGCGCCCTGCTCGGGCTGCCCTTACGAGCCACCACTGCGGGGCAAGATGCCATGTGCAGCATGGCCGGAGAGTGCGCAGATGAGATCGGCGTCGAATGTACACTTGCTGGGCATAGGCAGTCTGTCGAGAACACCTTCAAAGAGGAGGAGGAGGAGGAGGAAGAATTTGTCATGCAACATCAATGTGTGTCCGCAGATCTCTCTCTTTGGGGGACTGGGGGAAGGGAGCTGGGCAGAGGCCTGCAGCAGAGCTGGAGGGCATGCAATCCTACAGCAAGGCCGCGGCCGTCGGCCACAACATGTTGTCATGTTTCATACAGGTATACATATCTCAACACATCCACCTAAACAAACATACATGACTGCGCGGTGTTTTTGATGCGGGATCTGCAGATGCGGTGCCCCGAAGGGAGGAAGTGAACGCGACCCTGGAGCTCGCTGCAATGCTCGGTATCAGGCCGATGTGTGGCATCGGCCCGTTCCCTTCTCACCCTGCTCCTCCTCCTCCTCCTCCTCCGCCTCCGCCTCCGCCTCCTCCTCCTCCTCCTCCTTGTCCTCCTTGATCTCTCTTTATCTCCTTCGCTACGTAGAGCAAGCCATCTGTTGCAGGTTCCATATGGGTGCCAGCTTCTCCCGCCCGTTCTTCATCGAGCACCCAGGGATCAGTGGTGCCAGGTTGCTATTCCACGCCCCCACTCAACTAACATGTACATGGGCATCAGTCGCCAATGGATCAGTTGCACGTGGGCATCAGTCTACCCCCCTTCCCCAAGCCAAGAACACCGATCCAACTGGCACACTCCAAGACTCGCAAAGCAGCGGCGTGGAGACAGAGGAATCCAGCTGGCGGGGCTCGAGAAGCCAAGCGGGGCGCGCCACCTTCGAACTCCGTGCCCTTGCCTGGACGCGTTCTTTGACATTGCCTCCTGCGTCTCCTCCTCCTCCTCCTCCTCCTCCTCCTCCTCCTCCTCCTCTCCTCCTCCTCCTCCTCCTCCTCTCCTCCTCTCTGTGCTTCCTCCTCCTCCTCATTCTCCTCCTCCTCCCTGCTTCCTCCTCCTCCTCCTCTCCCTCGTCCTCTCCTCCTCTCCTCCTCCTCCTCCTCCTGCTCCTCCTCCTCCTCTTCCTCCTCCTCCTCCTCCTGCTGCAAACGGCGGACCGTTTTGTCCACCTCTTCCTCCCTGCGCGTCCTCGTTTGCGTCCGGGTCCGCACCTAGCTCTTCCTGCGCCTCCGCCTCTGCTCCTCTCCGTCCTCGTCTTCCTCCAGCTCCACATCCAACCCTTTCTCACACTGCTCCCCCTCGTCCTCATCCTCCTCCATCCTCCCCTTCGTCCATCCTCCCCCTCTCTGCATGTTCCTTTTCCTCAGCCTCCACCTCCTGCTTCTGATCTTCCCTGCATTCCTCAATCATTCCTTTCCTGTCTATTGTTTCCATCCTTCTCCCTCCCTTCCCCCTCTCCCCATCGTCACCCCCTCCCTCCCTCCAAGTTCCTACCTCATGTTTTTCCTCCGTTAGGCTGCACCCCTACCCTAGCCTCAGGCTACACCCATTCCCAGTCCAAAATTCTCTCCCCCGTCCCCTCACCCTAACCGCCCCTCTCCACTATCCTCCCCGATCCACCTCCTCCTGCCCCTCATCGTCGATATCATCCCCACAACCACCAGCACCACAACCGTCGTCGTCGTCTTCGTCGTCGTCCACGTTGTCACCTTTTTTATGACCAACGCCAGGGCGGCGGCCACACGGCGCCGAGGTCAGCGCTGAAGGGGGCCGCAACACGCGAGCGAAGGTCGTCAAAAAGCACCTTTGTGATGACGAACGCCAGGGCGGCGGCCAGACGCGCAAGCAGATCGTCAAACTAGACTTGATCGATGACCAACGCATTCCTCGTCTGCCTAAAAAAAAAATCGCCCAAGCGCACCACCAGACGTGCCAGCAGGACTGACTGAAGCTTCGCCTGACGCTAGTTCACAACTTGCGATCACAATACATAACATGTGCAACGGCTTACAGGGAGCAACACGGGGGATCGTTGGTTTTAAATGTCCTCAAGATCTACGGCGCGGAAGCTAATGAATACGCAACAGCTGCATGGATGAAAGGCAACTCCTGCGCAACACTCGGCTCTGTTGTGGGACCCTCTCATACTCTATATGTCCCGAAACCTGGACAGGTGCATCAGCCACACGGGTGGAGGGCGGCTCGTTTTCCTCATGATTCGACACCTCCTTGAGCTGTACAGTAGGTGCCCGACCACAGGAAACCTTCCACAAAAAACCCAACCCTGAGACCCCAGGACGTCCATTGATTTTTGGTGTGGGAACGTCGCGATCTCCATCGGAAAAAACACAGAAACCCAAGAAACCAAGGGCACCCTCGAGGCAAGCAGGGTGCCTCTTGGCATGGGCCTCCACTCTAGGAGTGCTACGCCATCATCACCCTGATCATCAGCATCGTCACCATCGTCATCATCATCATCATCATCATCATCATCATCATCATCATCATCATCATCATCATCATCATCATCACCATCACCATCATCATCATCATCATCATCATCATCAGCATCATCATCATCATCATCATCATCATCATCATCATCATCATCATCATCATCAGCATCGTCATCATCATCATCATCATCATCATCATCATCATCATCATCATCATCATCTTCATCATCAGCATCGTCATCATTGTCAGCATCGTAGTCGTCGTCGCCATCGTCATCATCATGAACAGCATCGCCATCATAATCATGATCAGAAGTAACATCATCATCATCCTCACCAGCATCATCATCAGCAGCAGCTCATCACATTAATCGTCAGCATCACCACCAGCATACTCATCATCATCATCATCATCATCAGCAGCAGCAGCAGCATCATCAGCATCAGCATCGTCGTCGCTGTCGCCATAATCATCATCATCATCATCATCATCATCATCATCATCATCATCAGCATCAGCATCATCAGCATCATCAGCAGCATCATTGCCGTAGTCGGGTTCATCGTCATCGCCATCGTCGTCGTTGTATCCATCATCAACATCCCAGTCATCATCATCACCCTAACCATCATCAGCAAGAGCAGCGTAATCCTCCTCCTCCTCCACATTATCATCATCATCATCAGCAGCATAATCATCATCATCATCATCATCATCATCATCATCATCATCATCATCATCATCATCATCATCATCATCATCATCATCGTCATCGTCATCGTCATCATCATCATCACCATCATCAGCATCATCAGCATCAGCATCAGCAGCATCATAATCAGCATAATCAGCATCAGTTTCAGTATCAGTATCATCGTCATCATCATCATCATCATCATCATCATCATCATCATCATCATCATCATCATCATCATCATCATCATCATCATCATCATCATCGGCCGCGGCCTCGGCCTGAGCCTCGCCCTCGTCCTCATCCCACTGCAGCTGCGACCACACCAGCAGGCCGAAGGCAGAGCGCCCCGAAAAGGATATACCCCTGCGGGGCCGAGCCTGCGGGAGGTGAGAAGGCGAGGGCCTTCTCGGAAGGCGGCGGGACTGCTCAGGAGCCCTCGCGCCCTCTGAGAAGCTGTTCGTGCCTTCGGGGAAGGCTCAAGGAATTGTTCAGGAGGCCGAGGGACTTCCGAGCCTTCTGAGAAGGCCCGCCTCTTCTCGCTTCCCCCCAGGCTCACCGCCGACACCATGAGGAACGCCGAACGAGGAACTACGGGGCTTTTCTGGCCACGGCGAGCAAGAAGGCCCGTGATCTGGATCCGGTGGGCCGCCCCTAATTCGACAATCGTCCTTGCTTCAGCGTGGCGACTGCACATGAAGGAAAAATAGGGAGTGCAACAACCAGACAATCGACCCACATTTCGGAATGGACGACGTGGAACATGTGCCATACCCATTCTACGTGACGGAGGCGGTAGAAGGCGGGAGCACCACATGAGGCCGAAGTGCAAGAGGCGATGGGGGAAAGGCAGGAGGACGGCGACGACGACAAATGCGACGACGACGACGACGACGACGACGGAGCAGGGCGAGGAGGTGCAGCGGCAGAAGAAGTGGGGCGCAAGGAGGGGCGGGTTGAGGGGAAAGAGGGCGAGAAGGAGGAGGAGGAGGAGGAAGAGCAGCAGGACGACGACAACGATGAGAAGGAAATGGATGTGGACGAGGGGGCTGCCCTCGTCGCGTCGCCTCCAAAAGACCCCCAAGAACCCTCTGGATGCTTCTTTCCTGGCAGTCACGATTCCAGGCGATCTTCCCGCGGGCCCTCTTGCGCCCGATGATCGGAGGCGACCCCTCTTCGCGTCACGCCCCCATCCACGGCACTGCTCTGCACGGACGGGCCTGCCCCATCCTGTGGGCCGAAGACCCCGCGATGCGAGCCGAGTGGGGAGGAGGGGAGTCCTCTCGGCGGCGCCGCAGAAGGACAGAGAGGGGGGAGGCAGAGAAGGATGGAGAGTAACCCAAGGAGGGAAGGAACGCACGAAGTGATGGGGACACAGGGAGACACGACACATTCCGCAGAAGTCATGCAACATATTCAACGACCACGATGGAGCCGAGGCGGCCTCAGGCCCACCTGCTCCCGACACGCGGGGTGGGGTGAGCCCGACCCGCGGGGACCTGCATAAGTGGGACTCCACCTCCACAGACCCCCACTCCGTTCCACCGTTCAGGCGGCGGACCGCCGCCTCCCAGAGGGAGGCCGAGCCCCAAAAGGGGCGGACGCCGAGCCTACTCCTCCCCCTCGGCAGCCTCCCTGGCCGCATGGGCCCTGGCAACCGCCACCGACGCCCCGAGCTGTTTGGACCTAGGCACGCCCAGGCCAAACGTGGCCAACACCGAGGCGGGCGAGGGCCTGCAAGGGCCTGGCGTGGAGCCCACGGGAGGCCCCCCGCGGAGTCCCGAGGACCGCCCCAAAAACTCGCGAAGCGCCTCAAATCTATCCGCCCAATAGCCCTCGGCCAGCTGTGGGCCTCGGAGCCCCCCCAGAAGGGCGCGCCCAATTCTAGGGTGCCTGAATTGGGATTCGATCGCACTGCGATTTTTCTTCGCAGACGCGATGGGCCTGCCAGCGCAAACCTCAGCGAACCCACGGCCGTTTCGGTCGCAGGTGTAGCCCCAGCAGGTCGCGCACACAAGGAGGGCGGCCGCCTCGCGACGGCCCGCTGCCATCGCCTCCGCGTCAGCGAACATGAGGACCTCCAGGATGTTGTGGCCCAAGAAGGAGAACGGCGCCTGCCCGGGCCCGCTCCCGCCTCGACGCGGCGGCGACCTGGAGCGGCCAGCAATCCGCGCCTCCTGTGGCGGTGGCGGAGGCGCCGGGGGGGTCCGCCGCGCTCCGCGCCGAAGCTCGCCGAGGCTCCCAGGGGGGGGCGATCGGAAGGGCCGCTGTCCTCGCGCCCCATCCGCCTACGCTTCGCTCGCTGCGGCCGAAGCTAGGCCGCGCCAGCGGGGCGAGGAGGCGGGGCCTCGCAGGGCTGGCGGCGCGGCGGCGACCTGGAGCGGCCGGCGCTCCGCGCCTCCAAATCAGCCAGAAGGCCCTGCGAGCCAACTGTTGCAGGCCTGGTAGCCCCTTCGGGCGCGCCTGCGGCGGCGGGGGAGGCGCTGCATGGCCACCGCCGTCCTCGTTTTCGCACTCGCCGAAGCCGATGAGCCCCGGCGCCACGGCGCCCATGCTGTCGCACAGGACTGCCTTGCCCAGCATCGCCTCCATCTCGCCTGCGTAGCGGGCCGCTCCTCTGGCCACGTGCAGCCGTCCAAGATGAGGATGGCGTCTGGGTCGGCCCGCGCCAGCGCCGCCCCCCGCTCGGCCAGCTCGTCGGCCTTGAGGTTGCCGCCCAGCTCCATATGCGCACAGCGGCCACCTCGCAC